GGTGATAGTTCTTGATTACTTTTTGATAAATAATTCGTTCTTATTGCGAAATAGGAGCACTATTTATCAATCTGTAATAAAAGACGTGAGGAAATCATGTAATTTTTTTTAAAGACAAAAATTTTTGAGGCGATATACCCAAAAAGAAGTTTGCAGTAAAAGTTTTTAATCGAAAACGCAGAAAGCAATTATTTTCTGATGATTTTCTGCCAAAAATGGCAAAGTTAATTTTGCTGCAAAATTCGCCGCATTCATCGGTTTGCAGCGAACTTTCGAAACCCCATTTCAGCTTCAAAAACTAAATACTTTTATTCAGTTTTATGCCAACCAACAGGGTTGCCATACAAAACTTAAAATACTGACAATTTTCAGGTCTTTTCTGTGAAAAGATGTAAGATACATTTTATCGAAACATTCGGCCCCTTTTAACAGCCTTGCAAAAATGTTTGGAACACTCTTTGAAGCGAATTATGGACAAAACCTTAATAACTATTTCTGGATGTTTTTCCAGAAACGTTTCGCCTGAAAAAAACCGAAAAAGCGAAAGTTTATAATCATTTACTGGGAAAACTGGAGTTTTTTCACTTTTAGATGAATATTTCTAAACAACACTGTCTCTAAACAGAAAAACCGCGTTTTTCCTAACGTTTTACTGTTAAATACCGTCAAACTGAATCTTTTATGCAAAAAAATTAAGAGACCGATTTACAAGAAAACTTGTCAATTTTTTTGAACTTTTCAAATTTATGGCTTTATTTTTCTATTCAATCTGAGAGCTAAAATCTTAGAGGCTGCAGATGCCATTTGAAAAAATGAATTTGGTACCTCAAATTCTCCATACACCGTTTCTTTGCCATGCTATACAGGCTGTTATTTAAAATGCTTTTTATGAGTTTTCTAATTAAAGTTTTTATGAGTTACTAGAATGGCAGTATGTATGACAAGGAATGTATCACAAAATTACGGCTGCATGTTATTGTTATTTTCTGTGTATAATACATATAAAATTATTTTGTAGTTGTTATTTATTGTTTTCAAAAGTGTTCAAAAACCTGGTATTATTTACTGATTGATCATACAAGTTCATCATATGAGCTGAAAGAAAAATGCCGTGGACATACACTTATCTACGGTTTAATCTTAAAACTTGTTATGCGTTATTTGAACGGCGATTATAGCTTTTCGCAATACATTTCTTCTTATATAGTATATATATGTTCTGAGATTAGTAATAGAGGGCATATCCGAGTGATTTTTAGACAATTCTTTTTATTGCTTAGAATTTTTCCGGCTTTGCCTTTTTTCTGCGTGGCCGTTGTTATTTTTCTCTAAAGGGCAAGGGGCAATAAAAGAAAAGGAAACTGGCTCAACGAGCCTAAGGTAAAAAATTATATTTAAACGTATTTACCTAAGCTTTTAAGAACATATGTTTTTTTGTTTCCGGTTTATGTTGTTATTGAAAGTATAATTACAAACAGAACAAGAGCCAAATTGGAATGACTGAGATTAAGCGGTTTTAAGCTAATAGCTGACCAAGATGTTTATTGAATTAGTTAGAAACTATTTTTTTAAATTATTCATTAAATATATTCATTTTTATAAAATTAGAATAGGTAAGGACTTATTGTTGAGAAGAGTTAGTTTGGTAATCTGTGTTCTTGTTTCTGACTACAAACGATAAATTGTGTAAGGCGGCTCCGTAAACGCAAGTTATCAGCCTCCTAGTTAAAAAGCAATGGATATTTCGAAATTGACCGCGCCTATTCATTGGCGAAAGGTGGCAACGTCGCAAGGATTATGTTCCTCTATTAGCCGCGTCTTTAAAGTTGGCATCCGCCATATTGGCCAGTTTGACAGTTAAGAAAAGACGGCCGTCACCTAGGCGAATGTGGCGCAAATAAAGGTCGATCCGGATGTATTCCTGCGACAGGCGGATGGGCGACCGACACGTTTGGACTGGTCGGCGCAGATGTCGCATCAGAAAATGCCTGCTTATTGCCGGCAACGATTCAACGCGAGAAATCCTGCGCATTGGCTGGAGCTCTGGCTGGGTCGTAGGCGCTCGTCGCTCCATCTTGAGTAGTTTCTAGCTTGTGTGCGGTCCGGGAGTGTTAAAAGTGCGATTTTAACCGATGTTTATATTTTGAAGTGCAAAGAACGCAACCCAGAAATGTCTTCGAACAACACCGTGAAACAATCGACCACGCAACGTATGATACAAGGTCAGTGCATCAACTTTTTTCCATCCAAAAGTTTCGACAGCTTCGCGCACAATTGATTTTCTAGGCGCCATGACGAAGCTATCGATTGCGCTCCGAAATGTGGCGGTTTTGCGGCAAAATGTCGCCTATTTGCGGTCGCCCCCATTCCAGCGCTGCCCCCGTCCAGGGCCAATCCGGATGTCTGAACGGCCCTGCTTGCCCGGGTGGCAATTGTTTAACTAGACCTGTCAGTTTTGGTGGCTCCTGCGACATGCACCGTTGCCACTGCTGGTCGCTTTTTTGGCTGCGGGCCGCAATGTTTATTATTGACGGAAAAACCTAAAATACATTTTGGACCGCATTCAATGTTCGCCTTTTTATATTGCCGCTTTTGCCCGACATTCTGCCAGCGGACGGTCCGCCCGTCCGCCCGTCCGCCTGTTCACTTCGCATTGGCCGCCCGTTTGTGACCTATATAAACATTCGATGGTCTTTTCACATGTAACAGGTTGCTTCCCATTCTTAGAATCCCCCCTGCCACTGGATGACGCCTTCTTTTCCCGTCAAGGGCGNTTCTATTCTCTATCCAACGGTGCCAAAACGAATTCTCTGGCTCGAATGGTTCTTGAGAAACTTCGAAAAAAACAGCGGCATGTTCAAGTGGGTTTTGCAACTCAAAAAAAACCACGCAAATCTAAAACTTCTTCAATTCAAGCCTTTTTTCAGAAAACTGCAAACATTTCCCCATCCATGGGTCACTTTCTAAAAAGGCCATTTATTTCTGTCTAGAATGATGTACAAATGAGCGTTCTTGCTCATTTTGCCTCCGAGAAATGAGCAAAAACGGGAC